TCTGTCTGCATTATGAAAACTGTAAGAGCTGTGGAGGGGTGGGTGGGTGGGGGGGGCAGTGCTTCTGTAGGGGAAATGGAAACCACCATGTGCCTGTATCTTCTGGATAGTCTTGCTTTTCTACTTATTTAATGCTAGTGTGTACATTTTGTGTTGGGTTGCTGTTTTTGGATTCCACACTGTTTTTGAATATGTACCTTTCCACGTATCCAGAGTTCATATACTTAAAAATATTTTTGTTTTGAAATAATTTCAAATGTGGGGAAAAAGTTGTGAGAATAACAAAACTCCCATATACCCTTGTCCTAGATTTGCACCAGTTTTTAACATTTTGTCATCTCTCTCTCTCTTTCCCCTTTTCTATCTGCCTCCTTTCCTCCTTCTTTTCGTCTGTGGATTATCTGTCTGTCTACCTACCTACCTACCTACCTATCTACCTACCTAGCCACCCACTCATCCATCCATCCTAGTTTCTGAATCATTTGAGAATAGATTGCTGACATTATGCCTCTTCACCTCTTAATACTTCACTATTGATCTCCTAGTGAAGTATTAAGTACATGGACGTTCTATTTCATAACCACTGTACAGTTACAAATAGAGGACATTTAATACCGATATAATATTTTTACCTGTTATCACTCTTGCTTTAATTTAATGGATTTTCTTATTCATGTTCTTTATAGCAGTTTTTCTCCTTGTAGTGAAAGATCCAGGGCAGGATCATGGGTTGCATCTTATTGTCGTATCTCTCCAGTCTCCTTTAATCCAGAACAGCCTTTCTTTGACTTTCATGACACCAACATTTTTGAAGACTACCGGACTATTAAAAAAAATAGAGCCGAGAGCAGTGGCTCACTCCTGTAATCCCAGCACTTTGGGAGGCCGAGGCAGGTAGGTTACCTGAGGTCAGGATTTTGAGACCAGCCTGGCCAACATGGAGAAACCCCATCTCTAATAAAAATACAAAAATTAGTTGGGCATGGTAGTGATGCCTGTAATCCCAGCTATTCAGGAGGCTGAGGCCAGGGAATCATTTGAACCTGGCAGGTGGAGGATGCAGTGAGCTGAGATCGCACCACTGCACTTCATCCTGGGCAACACAGTGAGAGTCCATCTCAAAAAAATATAAATAAATAAATAAATAGATACAGTTCATACACATCTGTTAACTTCATAATATTCTACTATCCAGGCATGCCCAATTTACTTAACTTTCCCCTGTTGCTTCACACTTTTAGAAATATTGGTGTTTCCGTGAACATACTTGTTTAATTTCCTCTCTGCATTATTTTGGTTGGGTGTATTCCCAGAGGTTGCGTGCCAGGTGAAAGGTTATAACTGATTTGCTTCATGGTTGAAACTAGAAATACTGAATCACTTTACAGTGTCATCAGCATGTACTTATTTCCTTGTGGCTTTGTAAATGCTGTTTCATTGTTTTCATGTATTTTTGGTAGTGAGTTTTGTAAAGATATATTAACATTTTCACCAAAGGGAAATTTAAACTAGTCATAGGTTTCTGTATTTTCCCCTTTATTTCAAATCTTCTTTCCTGTACTTTACTTTTCTTCATGATGTTTGCATGTCATTTTTTTCTTTTCTTTTCTTTTTTTTTTTTTTTTT